GGGGGAGCTGGACCCGCTTCCAGCCTTGGACATCTCCAGGGAGGAACAGACTAAGGCCATTTTGATGGACCTGGACCCTGCTTTGCCACCTTCACATGCCGATCTCCTCGCGGAATGCTGGGAACTGCGAACCATGGACACGGATGATCCCATACCGTTCGATCCCAGCTTCTACCACCTCTTGGGACGGGAATCACACGGCTTGGTGTTCGCAACCACTTGGTTTCCCCGACCTCATCCTTGGCCAGTTGCTGGCGGAGACCCGGAAGCTGGATCCGGCACGGCCTCCCATCACGCTGTCATGTATGTGCACGGCACCACCCCGGAACGAGTGCGCCGCATGTGCCATGAGAACATGATCCGACCCGCTGCTTGGAGGCCCGAGAACCATGACTACCCGAGCTTTGGATGCTACGCTCAGGCCACCCCCACGGCATGCACGCCCGACACGCTCGGCCAGCTCTTGCAGAACTTTACAATCGGAAAGTCTCAACTCGGCGCCATCGCTTTCGGGGAACTACGCTCCATCAATCAGCACAAAATCCTCGAATCCGGGGGAAGCCACGAGGATCAACACAACGTGCGGCGCCACTTCGCATGCCGCCGAGGCAAAAAGTGGTGCCTTCACTCCAAGTTTGCGATGCTGAGAGGCATCGCGCTGCAGCGCCCGGCTTAGCGGGGCGCAAGTGTACCATCTTCCACCCAACCAGGAAAAGAATTGGTGCACTGTTTGATCGCCTTTTTTCTTTGCTTTGCTGTTCTGCCTTTCCGCGACCGTTCTCACACCTTGTGACCTTACCCGCTTGATTCCGCTCACCAGCTTTTGGTTCGAACATTTCCTTTTCCCCCGTGTTTTCTCATGGCTTTCCAACCCCCTCGAGGTTTGGTTACGGCGCTCCAAAGGCAAAACTTACCACCGCAGCCTTCGCCCACGGCATCCCCTCATCATGGCATCGTGTACGGCAACAACATGGCCGGGAACCCGTGCGGGGCCCTGTCCGGGCCTTCCTACGGATGCTCTTCCACGGCATCGGCACCGCCAGCTACACATCCGACTCCCTGTCAGACCTACGGCCAACCTATTCCCCGTTACCCACCACACCCCGGCCCTCGTCCACCCTCCTTTTGGCGGCTCTCTCCCCCCCCCTCCCGGCGGCAACCCCTTTCCCCCCCCTCCCCCCGTCCATCTCAGGCCTCCCTCCTGGACTTCGGCATAAAGCGACCACGGTTGACTACACCTGACACATCACCGCAGGACGGATCCCCCGCTCTACCCCTGCCCACTCACATTGCAGACGACTCCCAACCCCCCCCGGCTCCCCCCACCCACGGCGGCAACCCTCCTGCCCCCTCCACCCACGGCGGCACCCCGACCCCTCCCCCCCTCCCCTCCCCACCCACTTGGAAGGAGCCCCGCGACTTGCTCCAACCACCTCCCCACGTTTGCCAATGGCTCACCAGCAACTTCCCACCCGACATTTCCGACACCAAAGTCCAGCGATGGATCACCTCTCAGAACACCAGCAAAGAGAGCAAGCATGTCCTAAAAAGCTGGTCCAACGACTGCGCAAAATGGGCAACCACACTGGACTCCGACACCAGAGCCCAACTCGAACGAGCCGCTGTGCTATGGGGCATCCCGGTGCGAACCCTATCAAAACTGGGGTCATCGGCCTTGGGCCGCATCCTGGCCGCTGCGAGTCACTTCTACCAGTGACGCTCAACAGCACACCGACAACGACGCACAGCCAGGCAGCACAAATTTTGGCAACACCACTGCTGCCAACTTCTCACTGTCCTCCGTTTCACTCTTCGGTTCTTCCCAACCGATGACGTCACCGCACGTCATTTTTGCTCCTGGCTACTCGCACAGCTTCAGCTACTTGACGTCTGCCATCTCTCCTGTGTTTCCGGCAGACTGAAAGCCCTGCTTACTCGACTTGGCCTGGACAACCCTGCTTCCGATTTCTCTTCTCAGCTTGTCCCTTCAGCGGTTTATCTGAGATTCACCAGCCATCCAAAGTGGCAGACCTTTTTCTACC